CTTTCATCTTAGGGCTTAGTTTTCATTCAACATTCTGCTATACCTGGATAATGGGAAATGTAACAGATAGAAAGCCAATGTTTCAAATCACATGAATCTGCTTAATTATAAGTTTATGAAAGTAATCAAAATGTTTTTATTAAATTGTTTATTACATATGTAATTAAAAAAATTGAATGTTACCACCATATGTCATGCTGAATTCAATTCTAGTGATTGTTAACGTATCCAGGTTATCAGTTCTGTTGTTAAATCTTACTCCAATGTTAAATAGTCTGTTAAACCCTCTGGAATCATAATTTGTTCCTAAAATCTTTGTTATTGATGTTTTTTGCCATAGGATTCACCTATTTAGTTAGTATTTTTTCCTTGTAGGTCGATTTGCCGTCTAATTCTTGTGAAAATTATTCAAGTGACTTTCCGTTAACCTCATTTTTTAGCGTTCACGTCCTTGCAGCTGTCAAAAGTATCGTCAGTTTTGCTTGACTTTTCAATTATGCAAAAAGCTGCAAATCAGAAATCCTGCATTTTGCATCCAGCTGAACTTTTGATTCAAAATCGTAGTCTGTGTCATGAGAAAACTATTATTTTCGACGAACGGCCAAATGTTTATATGCATTTAATACTAGGGACTTCGAAAACAAATTCTAAATTATTTGTAAGAGACTATTCTAGCGGGGCTGCCTAGTCATGTTTGATGGCACTAAAAAATGCATGTTGACACTTTATTTCCAACGCATTTCGCTACTCACGCCGTACCATCATAATTTCATAGGCAGTATAGTAGGTGGCAATCTGCCTTATGCAAAAATACATTGATTTAAAGTTGAGTAGCAGATTAGCACCAGATTTTTACCTCCCTGTTTATAGTTTTAAATTTTACAGTGTAATGTTAGTCACTCGTTAAGTCATTTTAAGTTTTCTTGTCAAGCTGGCGATAACACCCAAACTTCCATTTATCACAATGGAAGAGGAGTGTTCATTGCATATACCATTTTCTGCGTCAAAATATTTTGCAACTCCTTCATCAAGAGACCAGTCCTTGTCTGGTTCTTAGCAGTTGCAGCCACATCAGTCCGACATTAGCCATGGGATTAAGAAAAGGAGATAGGCGCTGTTAAAGTGGTTGAGCATAAATTATTTAGTCTCATACACTATCGTTTCAGATGTAAGGGGCAGGTTAAGATGTGGCAAACGTGCAAGGAAGCCAGCGCGCAACATGGAGGAATAAGGTGAAGCAAATCTGCGTTCAGAGAGGAATTATTGTTTCTACCAATAGGAAACAATAATTTGAATTGAATAATAACATGAGGAAAAATTTATTTAATTGCTGGTTTCCTGGAGCAAAGGGTTTTTGTCTGCCTTTTTACATCCAG